ATATTGAATCATTAACGAGCATCTGCCCGATTTTGAAATCATGAGCTTGCAAAAAGATTCGTTGTTGATTGGTTAATGTCACTGAATCCTGGCCTGATATTTTAAAATTAAATGTAAAAAGGGGCTCAAAAAACAGCTACTGAATCTTATTTGGAGAGACCTTTAAAGCATAAGCCAGACAAAAGTGACTACCTGAAGAGATTGGTCGCAACAATCAGTTTTTCAGTAGGTGCATCTCTTTATATTCTTTATCCCCTGAGATATGAATGTACGCAGGTACATACAATTGATACGATTTGTTTCGAGTACTCATAAATGGGATTCAAACTTTTGTTTCAGTTGGTTACATACCCATTGGATACTTTACATTGTAAAATGATAATGAGAAGCTATCAAGTACAAGAGTTCATTGCATGCATTTTCTCAAATCTTGAAAACAGAGGGTGTTAGGTCTCTTTACAAAGGTGCGAGTGTACATGTCCTTAAAAATACTATCATTCTTGGTCTTCTGTGGGCTAGTGTCAGGTTATTCCGAGCAAAACTGCCTGCTGGAGAGAGTAAGTCTGGTGATGAAAATGGTGAAGGAAGTTCCAGTTAATTAGTATTGTTATATGGAATAAGGGTTGAGATGTTGGTTAAGGCATGATATGACGATTAAAAAAAAAAAAAAAAAAAAATTTATGCTTTATTTTTCATTTGAGACTACAGGAGAGTAGTGATGTTTAACCACATTAACACATTTGATGTTTAATGTTTTACCGATGGATGTTGTTGTAATGAGATTAATTTAATAGGAAGACATAGTCCCATTGATCTTTTACTTGTTACCAATGTTTTAAAACCCAGTTCAGCCCAACCGGTTGAACCGGGACTCAAAAGCTTCAACGGGCCGAGTTTAATTTTTTCATATTCACCCAATACCCTAGGATTTTCGGTGATGATCGGCAAATAATTAACTGTCAGAATGTTGGGGCTTTTGAAGAGCAATTTCCGGTGAATGTAATGGTGGTGAAAGATTTGATTTTCGGTGAGTAAATCGATCGGAAATCGAACAAAACTAGTAGCGACAACGATGAGATTTTTCCAACGATCCAACGATTGACGAGGTTAACGGGGGTGAGGTGAGGTGGGTTTTGGTCGAGAGGGAAAGAGGAGTAATTCTGGGGTGATGGAGAGGGTGGTTGTTGCCGGAATCAATGGGATCTAGCCTGGAATGCTAACGTTGACGTCGGTGAGATCTAGCTGAAATCAAATCTATTTCGACTAGATCTTAAGTATATTTTGATAGAAATGGGCTCAAGGAATAATTAGGGTTGCATCTAAGGTGTCGTCGCCGGTTGATTTGCAATTGGGTTGTTTTTGATAAATTTTAAACTTTTAGGGACTTAACATAATTTTTAGAGGTATATGCTAAATTTTAAATTTTTTTGTCAACTGGTTTGACCAGCGATCAAACCGGTTAAACTAGTCAACCTAGGACCCAGAAGCTTTGCCGGGTTTCACCCTGGATTGGGTTTTAAAACATTGCTTGTTACAAAATTCCCATAACTAAGAATGCGGCAACCCATTTCTTTTTTACACAATTTATAAGCTATTGAACACTATATATATAGCGGGGAAGGTTCCGCATCCCCTCTTATTTAACACAAGTTTATGTCCTTTAGATTAAAGAAAAATTAGTCGTTAACCAACACTTGATGGTCATTATAGCTTTTATTCTATCAATAATTCTAAGTCTTAATAAATTAGTTGAAGTGCATACAAACTGATCTATAGGCAAGATAAGGATAAGAATGAGCTGAAAATTATATATACATTAATTTATATAAATTATCGCTCTCATATTTCTTAAATCTTTTTCTTTATTTATTGTAAAAACCTCTCTCGTAATTAATTTTACTAAATCTCTCTTCCATATTTTATTCTCAAGGCTTTTGTTTAATTAATAAGCTTATCAAAGTAATCAAATCGTTTAAAAGTATCCTTAAACAAATTAAATTAATAAAATAAGTCACTCATATTATTTTTGGACCATCATTCAAATATATGTATAAACTACGTTAAATTAAATTATTGTACTCAAAGTGTGACCACACTCACCAAATTATCAAAGTCATCATTTTATTTATTTTTATTAATCTTTAATATTCTCAAACTCTTTTTATCATATATCCTCATACAAAACTTTATAGTTTAATCATACAATGTTACTCATCAATGCTAAAAAACTAAAATAATATAAAATATTGAAAAATGAAAAAAAAAAAAAAAAAGCTAAAAAAATCGCTACAAATTAATATTCAAGGATTTTTTTTTTTTTTCATTTACTAAAAGGGAAAAAGATTATTTATCAAAAACTTTTAAGTAAATGGAAGGTAGGATTACGGGAGAGAGAGATTTTGTAAAAATTAATTAAAAGAGATGTTTTTTTACGATTAATGAGGAAAAAGATTGCATTAATAAATTAATTTTATAAATATGTACTTTCCATCGCATTTCTATCCCACCAGTTTCATGCCTTGGCACTACCATGCAAATCATCGTTGCCAATGCTATGCCTTGAAGCCCTGAGCACGCTTTGCATGAACATATACAATGATACTAATCCAATCAAATGCACTAAAGATCATTTATTTCCTGTAATATTAGAGATTTGAAGAGTATAATTTGATAGTTTATAGTAAAATGCGATATTGGGACCTTTAGTTCCCTTTTTCACAATGAATGGATCGAATGAAATTCTGCTTGGCAAAATTAATAAGAAATGAATTTAAGCTATTATGCTATTTCCTTCTACTCTGGAACAACAAAAAATGGTAAGTTTCGTAAGCAAAACCAAAAAATCTTCTAAACAGAAAAAGTTGAAAAAATAAATACAGTAACAAAACAAGTCTTGCAAAGCCCGGGGAAAGGAATGATTTGACAAGTAGTAACAGAAATTATAGCATGAAACAAAAAATATAGCCAGATGTAGCAACATATCTACAAATTCATCAATAAGTTAGAAGATATTTTAAGACCACAAACACAATCCTAGTTTCACAAACAAACATGAAAATACAATATTTCAAGATGCACATAGAATCATACAAAAGAAGACATGCATAAAATTCGTCAAACCACGATTAATTTATGCTACTGGGAGGTAAAATCGCCCCCTGCCCAGACCTTTAGATCATCATTCAATCAACCCTTAGTCCACGATCCAAGAGTCTAGATCGCGGGTATTGATACTGCCTGCTACTACCCTTTTATGTAAAGCAATAACCAACAACATTTCTCACAAGATCCTAACCAAGACAATTGCACATAGATAAACTATAATCCAAGAAAACATCAAGAAAGTATACACCACCAAAATTACAAAACAAACACAACTTACTTGACTGACCAATCTAGGCCTCACAGCTTGCAAACCATCAAAACATCAAGTAGAATCAAGTTAAAACAAAATGAATTAAGTTGTAGTCACATTACAAATCATAAATAATCAGATACACTAATGCATAAAATAAAAAATTAAAAATTAAAAAAAATCGATTCACAGGGATTGAATTGAGCTTTTTCATTCCTTTACCAAAGATAAATACATTCAAAATTTCATTGAAGTTATTCCACAAACAGATGCTGAACATTTTGAAAAGAACATGAGATGTTAAAAAATTTTAGAACCCATTTACAGACACAAAATTCATAAGAAATACACAATGGAAGAATTTAAACAAAACCCAGAAACCAGTTTGTTTAATATTTGGCAGAAATTGAATGGTGTTCAAGGAATAGCAAGCATTGATTAGATGGAAAAAAAAAAAGCAACTACGGATTGATAAAACTATGAATAAAATAAACAAAAATTAAGCTTAAATTTCAAAGAAAATGTTTACCCCCGGAAATAAAAATAAGAGAGGGAGAGAAGGCGTCCTATCCTGTGTTGGGACTTTAGATGTTAGAAATAAAAATTGTGAAATTATTTTTAATTTATTCAATGAGAAGTTTCTAACCATCATTCTGTCGGAGAATGTCAGAGGAAGTTTTTCTTCTGCTGTCTCTCTTTGATCAGACCAACCGATGGAAGCACTCTCGGTCTTTGAGTTGCCTTTACTTGAAGATGCAGGTCTTCGAGTACATCTTGATACAAGTGTTTCACTATGAAAAAGGCGGTGTCGTAATCCCTCCAATAATTTCTGTACACAGAGACTCAAATTATATAAAAAATATATATTACGCATGCAAAAGCACATGTATTCAGCAAAATTAAGCAATATCACATGAAAACTGAAGCTACACAGCCATATAGTATAAAGTTATAAACAGATAGGGTCAAGTGCTGTTGTTTTAAAAACGTTTAAGCTGAATTGGTTTAATTATTCTACCCAGGGTTACTTTCTTCTTCAAACATACAAAATAATTATACATGAATGCTAATAAGAAGCAAGGTTAATGAGTTCGTATGATTAACACAATGCAAGCACAAAAAGTAGAAAGGGTAATTTTTCTACTTTCTAATGAAAAACAATTTTTATGCTCCTTGTTTAAAGAAGCCTTCAAGACCATGTGATGGTCACAATGCAAATTCAAATGCCATCCAGATGCAACAGAGTGCAGCTGCTTCAAGGCCAATTAGCTTAGCTGGTAGGTGTTGTCTTAGAGCTAAATTTTATCTCGCTTCCACCAAGTGACAAGTGTAAAATGTTATGAGATTGGGGAGTTGGAAAAAAAATATATATATCCCCATTCAATGAACTATATATAACAACTTCAGAATACTCTTTTATACTGACTAATTCTGGCTTTTCTATGATTACAACCATAAACTCTAACACATTATATGCTCCACGTTTCTCAGAAAGATAAATGTCAAATATGTAATCAAATATGCTTCATATAAGTCTCAAAAATGCATGACAAGCTTCCTTGAGGGAACTATTGAGATACCACATTTCGTTGGGTAAAAAGTATGGAGTTATCAAAATGTATAGAAGAAGACTGAATACAGCCTAGTAGTCTATAAACGATAAAATATTTTGGTTCATCGTAGAAAGTACTTACGTATGTAATCCAATGGCTTGTAAATAAGGATGTTCAAATGTTTTATCCTACATTATCAATATGAACATTAGAAGAAGTCCACAAATGAGCTAGCAGTGACGATATGTAAAACAAAAGTAAAATATCATGTCTATTATTAATAAACAATGAACCATTCAGGCAAAATGTTCGACAGTGGAAACTCCATATCCTCGATGTACTTAATAAGCATCATATACTGTGTCCATCACCATTTGAACATTCTTCTCATGGCAATTGGCAAATATTTATGTTCACATGGTATTTTGCAAATTGATGGTGGCAGAGGCTACGAAGCTAAGGACTGACAAACAACGAGACATCCCCAAATCCCAACTACCCTCATAGCCCATCAAAATAACTCCCAGGGGCTTCAGATACATAATTCATCTATGAAAGTGGAGCTATGACATTCTGATGATAACAATACATAGGAATTTAAAAAGCTCCTGAGATATAGTTTCACAGGACAACAATATTGCAAGTAGTTACCTTTATACATAGGAATTTGGAAAGCCCCTGAGACATAGTTTCACAGGACAACAGTATTGCAATTAGTTGCCTTTATAAACTCGTTTCTTTTCTTCTAAATTTTGTGAAGGGAAGACATCCTTAAACTAAGATTATAAACTCTTCAAAAGGGCTAATCAATATTAAACATTAAGACCTTCAGGAGGGAAAATGATGGGTCAAATTTATGACTAATTATAGGCATCAATGGAGGGTAGTAGGTATCAACTTAAAAGCCTTAATAACAGTGGTATAGACACTCAACAATTAGCAATAACATGATATAGCAGTAAATGCAAGCATCGAACTGCACTACAAACCTGAAGCATGTGATCTATCCATCCTTCTGCACTTCCAGTTAGCCTCTCCATCATTATAACACCATATGATCTTTCTTCTCTTTCTTCGGCATTTTCTGCCACTGCAATATACACAAAAAGATTGTTGAGTGCATTCAAAAAATATGGAAAAGAAATCAGCATAGATTAAGTGAAATTTCATTTATGGGATCAGGGCTTTGTTGTTTACTTTTAATATTATTTTTTTTACTACTGAACAATGGAGGGGAACCCTAAGTACAAGAATGGTGGGTCCCTTCAGCCATTGTTACTCATATGTGCAAAAGGAGGACAACATGAAGAAACAGAAAAGCAATAAAACCTTCTAGGGCATCTGCATTTTTCGATTGACAAACTGTAAGTACTTTAGCTTGTTTCAATAGCATAAAACTCAGAGCTTCAATACTCACACATGATCAGAAACCAAAGACCAAAACATGTACATGATAATTCTGGCTAAACTTCAGAACTAAAGGTCAACTAATATTAAATTGATACATCGATGTTATATATACATAGAAACATATATAAATGAATAGCTACTGAGTCGGAATTTCAACAAAATTAAATTCTCCAACAGTGAACAAAAAAAACCACCCTTAGATACAAACATAATATTTAGTTCAAATTGAGGGGGGAAAAAATGACACTCTGACGAGTATGGTCAGTCTGGGTTAAGTAAAAAAAGAGCTACACCGAACAAAGTTGAACCTGTAATGAATTTAATCATCATAAAAGTTATTCTCAGAAACATAATTTTAACTTCTGAGGGAGATATAAAGAACAAAAATGAGTCTTGATTCTGAAGCAAATACAATACTTAACTCTAAATTCAAACTGGTCATTGTATATTCGCTATGTATGTATATATTGACATTATTAATTAGTCTGAGCAGGAGAGTGAAAGCATAATCCAATAAAGCTCAGTTCATAAACATGTAGCATAATATTACAAAGTTGAGAAATGAAAAGCCTGACCATCATGCTCTATAGTAAGTATAAAGAAACAAGATAAGCCCAAAAACTGAAAAATAAAAAAGAAATATGCCTTTGAAGAAGTTGAAAAGAGAAACTGACAATGAATAGTATCAGAACCCAGCCTTACAGAGTTGAATTGGTCCACTATTACCTGAGAATGAGCAGCTACATCTTAAGTAAATTCCTAACTCACATATATAAGGACGTATTAGAAAGTGCGAAAAATTCTTTTAAACAAAAAATGCTCCACAAAGAGAGAGAGAGGAAAAATTTTAAAACCTTGATTTTGTGGTGCTATAGGGAGCTTACCTGGAACCCATATATGCAGCCTCTTTCCACCTCTATGGTAAGGGATAATAACTGGACGTACGGTGAGGAACTCTTTACAAACAAGTGGTTCTACTGTGTGTAAGAAACCACAACACCACATCCATAATACTTTCCACATTTATAAAATATTAAAGACAAAAATAGAAAAGAAAAAAAACATATAAAACTATACATGTCATTCAAAAGAAAATAAAGCATTCAAAATAATCATAGTCACATTGGTTTTGTTCTGAGTCAAGAAATGAGCAAACGCATGTGTAACATGAGTTACTGGATTCTTTTCACCTTGTGCAAGACTTTGTGGCATTTAATAAAATACTTGAATGTGCAAACTTTGAACCAAATAAATATTTTTTAATTTGATTTAACAAGAGGATGTCAGCAGAGGTGGGACATTAGGAAGAAAAAACCATAAACTTGTAAGAGAGCAAAAAAAGAGAGAGAGAGAGAGAGAGAGAGAAAAGAAATAGGGAGAAATAGCAAAAGACTAAACTCTTTTTTCCAATATTCTTGATTTTTGTTTATTTTACCTTTACTATTACCTGATAGACATTTAAAATGTTCACATCAAGTTTCTCATTAAACTTTGTTCACATATACAAAAAAAGTCCGAATAAACAGATGGTGATTTTTCTTATAAGAAACTGATAATATGTATTGGAACAACATGAGTTACACCGGTGGACAAGCTGCCAACAAAAGAACAAAAAAAATCAGGGTAGGGGTAACAAATATAAAGTGATGGAGCCACCTGATCAATTAACACAATCCAAACACAAGCAGCAGAATCGAAATAACACTCAATCGGATTAAACTGATAGTTAGTATTATAAACTGAATGAAATAGCAGTAACAAGATAAGTGACCACAGAACAATTCCCAGCAATTCAAGGAGCTGGAAGCCTCCCAAAATGCCTATCTGTAATAACTTGATCCCTCCTTTACCACTCCCTAGCTATTTATACCCAAATACTTCCTATACTACCCTTACTCTAACAACTTTATTCTATCCAGCCACATGCATGCAGAATCCCGTAACAAACTGTAACAAACTCTCACTCACACTCATTACCCCTTAGTACGCCACCCCCCCCCCCCCCCCCCCCCCCCCCCCCCCCCCCCCCCCCCCTTCTCTCTAAGGAGAGCCACCTTGTCCTCAAGGTGAAATTGAGAGAATTGTGTGTTGATGACATCGAAAGACTCCCATGTAGCTTCAAAGGAGGGCAGAATTGAATGAGGACCTCTTTGGTGCCATCGAGTAGGAACTGCGTTGCCAGGACTGATTGTGGTTGAACCTGGAGTTCCATCTCTTCGGTGAGAAAAGTGGGGAGTGGCTGAACTGAAACGGAGTTGTGTAAGCTGGGTTTGAGCTGGGACACATGGAACACCAGATGAATACAGACAGTGGAGGGTAGAGACAATTTGTAAGCTGTCAGACCAATTCTATCCACCACTTTAAATGGTCCATAGAACCTAGGACTGAGTTTCTCATTCAGTTTCCTAGCTAACGACCTGAACCTGTAGGGTTGAAGTTTGAGGTACACAAAATCTCCCAGAGAGAAACTGATGTCTCTGCAATGTTTATCAGCCTGTTCTTTCATGTGTCCTTGAGCAGATTCCAGGTGATGTTTAAGTTCATTTATGATGGCATTGCGGCGAAGGAGCTGCTGGTTCACGTCTTCCACTAAGGGTAATCGGTCATCTTGAGAAAGAGTGGGGGGTCTCTGGGGGTCTTTGCCATAAAGGGCCTTGAATGATGTCATTTTCGTGGATCGATGGTAAGTTGTGTTGTACCAAAATCCCGCCCAAGAGAGCAAATTTGGCCACTGTTTAGGCTAGGAACTGCAGAAGCATCGCAGATAGGCCTCTAAACACCGATTGACCACTTCGGTTTGGCCATCCGTTTGTGGGTGGTATGCGGAACTGAACTTGAGAGAGGTCCCTACTGCTCTGAAGATTTCCTGCCAGAAATGGCTCATAAAGAGTCGATCTCGGTCTAAAACTATGGACTTGGAAAAACCGTAGAGCTTAACAATTTCCCTCATGAATATCATAGCAACCTCCTTTACACTAAAAGGATGAGACGAAAAGATAAAGTGGGCGTATTTAGTGAGCCGATCAACCACCGCAAGGATACTATCGAGCCCCTTCGCTCGTGTTAAACCTCCAGTAAAATCCATCGTCAAGTGGTTAAAGACTTGCTCCAGTATAGGCAAAGGCTATAGAAGCCCGGCTGGCTTGAGGGCTGAATACTTATTGACTTGGCAAATAGTGCAAGCCTTTACAAACTCTTGAACATCTTGCCTTATCCCTTCCCAATAAACAATGTTTGCCACCCATTTGTAAGTCCTGAAAAACCCCGAATGCCCTCCACCTGGGTTGGAATGAAATTCTGTCAAAAGTTTAGCTATGAATCTGGAACCTTTTGGTAAAACAATTCTGTTTTTGTACAAAAGACACCCCTGCCTAAGTCTGTAGTGTGGGCGGCTGTTAGGGTCAAAGAGAAGGTCCTAAATGATAGGTTGTAACTTGAGATCTTGTTGTGCTTCATTGGCTAGATCATTGTACTCTGTAACCTATACTACTGAGATGGTATTCAAATCTGGTCCCTCCCCTCTTCATGACAAAGCATATGCTACCATGTTTGTTTTTCTCGGTTACTAGTGAATGTCGAAAGAGAACCCCATTAGTTTGGACAGCCACTTTTGTTGTTCAGGCGTTTTAATTCGCTGGTCAGTGAGAAATTGTAGACTCCTTTGGTCAGTTTTGATGATGAATCGTTTGCCCAATAAATACGGACTCCACTTATGCACTGCAAAAACGATGGCCATTAGTTCCCATTTCATATAAGGACTTCTATTGTGCTTGTGGTGAAAAGGCTTTGCTTAGGTAAGCTAAGGGTCTTGACTGCTGGACCAGAACTGCGCACATTCCATGACCTGAAGCATCAGTCTGTATTGCAAAGGGAAGTGCAAAGTTCGGGACTGCTAAGATTGGAACTGTAGTCATAGCTTCCTTGAGTCTATCAAATGCCATTTGAGCTCCCTCATTCCAACGAAATGCATCTTTTTTAAGCAAATCAGTAAGTGGTTGTGCAATACTGCCATATCCCTTGACAAATCTCTTGTAATACCTCGTGAGGCCTAAAAACCCCCCGTAAACCTTTCACATTGGTCGGAACAGGCCACTTAACCATTGCCTCGATCTTGTGTGGATCTGCTTCTACTCCCTGCGCTGAAATTATATGGCCTAAGTAGTCTAGTTTCTGCTGACCGAACAGACACTCCTTCCTGTTCATTACCAATTCGTTGTCTTGTAGAATCTTAAGGGCTTGTTCAAGATGGATCACATGGGAATCAAGATCAGGACTATAAATCAGAATATCATCGAAGCAAACCAGCACAAATTTCCTCAAAACAGGTTTAAAAATAGCATTCATCAGCGCTTGAAAAGTTGATGGTGCATTACCAGCAAAGTAATGAAAAGAAATTCTTCTAACTAAGCATAATTTACCCTGAATTTCCCACTCAAATTGATGTAAAATCAAGTCCAATAACGAAAACGTGAAAGCCTTTAAACTTCAACAAAGATCTAATGAGATTCTAAAGATGAAAGCATTTCTCAAAACCGTGAGGAACAAAAGTATACTTCATTATCCACACCCACGGCCAAATGATATAAATATTTACAAATATACAAAATACTTCTCTGAATGTCATGTCGCAACAGTGAGAATATTCACTCATCAAAATTTCAATCATACAAGTGTATTGAGGATTACCTATTCCAATACGGATATTTCAGAGGGCAAGGAAGACACCAAGAGGTGATCCAACAGCAAATAATGTGTGAACCTGATATGTAAGAATTAATGTCAAATCAGTAACAAGATTCACCATCTTAAATTTAGAGCTCGTAAGAAGTTCCGTTTCTGACCTTGAATTCGAGCTTTGCGTACTTAATATAAGGGGTATAACTCTTTGGTTCATCATCTAGCATAGGTTCAAGTTTCTCAGAAATGGGTTGCTTTGGCTGTCTATG